ATTATGACAACCATAAAACTATTACTACAATGAAATCACTATCATTATAAATGATATTAATAAGACTTCTAAAAACAAAGGTAAACTAATGATAGTAATAATAATAGTAGCAGTGTTAAAAAAGATGTAAAATAAAAGTAATAATAGTTTTATAAATACAGTAATATAAAAAAAGCAATAATAATTAATTAATTAGGATTTTGTCAAGAAATGGCCCATCTAGTTGATAGTACCATGATAGGTTTAGCCAAGAAATAGAGGTAATTTATATATTTAGACGGGATAAGTCTTTTACCGTTAATTCTAATTTTCACATTATCATTATCAATCTTTTTTTTTGAAGGGTGAAAAATAATAAATTTACTTTTATTGATGTTTAGAAAAATACGGTTACTATTTAATCAATGACACAAATGATGGAGATCTGAATTAACCCCTTTACAAAGATGAAAAAACTATTTTCGAAAAAAATAAACAATAATGCATAATAAACAGAAATGCTATTTTGAAAACACGGTTAATGCAATACAAAACAAAACAAAAAATTAAGAAAAATTACCAATTAAATGCAAATAATTTTAATTAGATTAAACTAATCGATTGGTTTCTTAAATAAAAAATCAGTTTCTTATAAAAATGCCATTATAAAATTGATAATATTCTGTCATTAGACTTATTCTTAGTCAATGCTATAACTTTCTATTGAAGCTATTATTTAAAATTCAGTTTATAATATCAAAGAATTTAAAAAACAAAACATTTTAAAAAGTAAAACATTTGAATGTTTTAGCTGCCTTTTTTTTTTTATTTTGCACAAACTCATTTTATACTTACTCAAACTATGTATATAATATAAAATTATTATGCGCTAAATTATTGTATAATAATTTTTATGTATTAGTTATAGCAAATTTTAAAAATTTGTCTCAATTTGAGCAAAATAAAAAAATATAATGCACAATTAAATGTTCTGCTAAAAAATTGTAATAATTCTTAAACTATTTGCTTTCTACTGCAGTAAGAAAATATAAAATATTTCTTATAAGCAGTAAAAAATTTTATAATTTTTTGTTAGTCAAAGTTTTTATCAAATAAGTAAAGTAGTTATTAAATAAATAGAAACTCAAAAAAAATGCAAGTATAGGGAATTTTTATCAGGCCGCAATAAGCGACGCTCGTTATGTATATATTTTTACAACATTTGTAACAAGTAACAACAATATTTTATTTAATAAATATTGTAAAAAGCTCTTGTAAAAAGCTGTTTAAAGGAACAGCTCACATGGTCATGTTCATTTTAGGAAAGTTTTTCTTTGCTCAAGCACTCATTTACTCTTACCGAGGTCTGTAATATTTTTATCTTCTAATATTTTAATGTGTACGAATATATATATATATATATACATATATATATATATATATATATATATATATATATATATATATATATATATATATATATATATATATATATATATGTATATGTATATGTATATATATATATATATATATATATATATATATATATATATATATATATATATATATATATATATATACACATATATATATATATATATATATATATATATATACACACAAAAAGTTGATATGGGAATGATCGGGAAGAAACACAATCAACTAGGTATTGCTGCATCTAGTTTTAATAATTTTGTTTAATAAATTTTGAGAATAATCTTAAAATTTATTATTTTTTGTGAACATTTAATGTATATATATATTATCATAAAATATATATATTATCAAAATATTATCAAAAAAAAGTTCTTCAAAATGTCATCACAAATCATGTTGGATATGAAATGAAGCGAAATTATATAAAAATTTCAAAAATGATAAAAATGCACTTTTTTCATTTTTTTTTAAATAAACTTTATTCTTGATATTCAAACATACTTATTTTTATATAATATATTTTTTGAAATTTTCATATAATTTCGCTTCATTTCAGACCCAACACTTTTGAAGAACATTTAATTTATAAAAACTTAATAATTAATTTATCAGATTTATTAAATAATCAGATTCTTTTTTTCAATCAAATTTTAATTAAAATTTTTTTTTTAGAAAAAGAATAATAAAAGAAACAATATAAAAAACCCAAAGTTCCTCATCTAGATAGTACCTGCCCAAACATGAAACAAAAGTCAATGTGTGTACAGAAGCACTTGCAGACTAATACAGTATAATGTCATCAATAACATTTTATGCAAGGTTAAGTAACAAAGATATTTGTAAACATATAATAAAAAGTATTAAGAAATAAGATCTAATTGTGATTTGTATATAGTTTTTTGAAATAATGCAAGAACAAGCTGTCAGAATGTGCCAAAACAATCAGAATGTGCCAAAACAGTTAGAATGTGCCAAAACAATTAGAATGTGCCCAAGCTGCCAGAATGTGCCTTTAGAACTGAAAAAAAAAGTTTGTCAAAGAAGATCTTTTTCAGATATTGTGAATTACGAGGAGACTAACCTGACTGAGGACCAAGGAAAACATAAAATTATAACCAGAAGAGGGACAAAATATTCAGAAAGAATTAACTATTTGCCAGAAAGTATATAAATCTGTCATGTTTTTAGCTGCTGCAGATGGCACCATATTACCACCTTATATTATGTAACAACTTGAAACAGCTCAAAATAATAGGATGAAGTTTGGGTGGTTGTGGTGATTCATTTTGCTTTGAGGATTGGGTCTCAACACAAAGCCATCCCAATTTTTAAAAAGTTTGAAGGAAAAAAAATTTCTTATCGGAGACAATTTTGGCATTGCATCCATTCATGGAATCGGTTAGACTTTGAAAACCAATGACATGAGATTCATATTTCTTCCAGGAATATGAACCCTCACTCTAACCTAATGGATTATGAAGCTCGTGTCATCAAAATTCAACCCATCTAACCCAATAACTTGATTTGACATTATTCAGACCTTCGGACCACTAAAAAGTAAAATGCAGCAAATATTAGAAAAAGGGTTCAGGAAACAATGCAGCAACTGTTCCAAAAGATAACTTCTCTATGTTCTTGAAAAAGGTGTACTGTTCCTTAAGAGAAGAAAATGTTGTTGCTGGTTTTGAGAAAAGTGGCATTGCTCTTATAAATAGAAATAAGGTGTTGTTAATGATCCCAGGTATTATAGACAAAAGCTAGAAACTGAAACTTAGCAACAGCCTGATACTATTGACAGTAGATTCAAAACGCTTCAGATGAGATGATTTCATATGAATAGTACTCCTCATGTTAGGAGTACTATTCATATGAGAATAGTACTCCAAACATGAGGGAGAAAAGATCAAATGCAAATGTGCTTCCCGGAAAAAGTAATTGTAGTGAAGACCTTCTGGGCATTGATAAAGTAGAATTATAAAATTAAACTGCCAATGCTGTTAGCAATGATACAAATTTTAAACCAGCTCAGTCTTTGTCAAAATCTTAATTTAAAAAAAAATTGATTCATTAAAATTTTCAGAAGAGCAATGAGGCTTCTTATTTTCTTATTCAGAAGGTAAAAATGATTGTGCGATTGTGCTTCAATTAACCCTTTAAACACAGATACATGCATCTGCCTGGGTGAATGTAACTTTTTATTTATGGTTTATATAATAATTACACTTTTAAAGTAAGCCTTAAAGATGATTGTTTTGTGAAAACAAATGTCAAAAACAATTAATTTTACAATGGCTAGAGAATCCTTGATCTCCAGAAAAGATTTAAAAATTGTTCTTCCCAAAACTGAGTTTAAACTCTCATGTTAAAGACATGCTTTATTTTAAAAATACAACAACTGATGTAACAATTTATTTAAAGTTTTTTTCTAAGTACCATGTAAATACTATTATTTCATACTATCTATGTTATATGAGTTTTTCATTTATTTATTAAATTTATTTAATCAAACTAATACAATATTGTATTTTTAAAGAACATTTTATCTTTGAATACCTTGCAAAAGAAACTTTTTATGGTAAAATAAATCTCTTAACTATATTTATTTTGTAACATTTATACAACTTTTTAATGTCACCTCAAAGGTGACATTAAAAATTTGACAATAAAGACACTAATTGCAGATGTACATTAAATTTTATTTTTAAAAAACCCACAAAAACAACAATTTAAAATGATGGTTTGGATGATTGAAGTCATGGTGTAGAATCATCTTTGTATCTCTTAGTATTCCTGTATTTTGTATGAACTTGTTCTCTTGGTATTCCTGCACTTTGTATGTGCTTGTTCTTGTCTTTATATAGTGACAAAACTCAAAAATTAATTGAAGAATAAGATTCATTTAAAGTAAATTAAATAGGTAGATGCTTTTTGTGAAACCATAATTATTTATTATGGTGATTTTAGTATACAAAATATTTTCTCAAAAAAAAATAAAAAAATAAAAAGGTTTATAAATAATGCCACTTAACTCCATCAAACAATTCAAATAAAGTAAACCTGACTACAATGATTTTTCATATACTCAACATATTTTTACAAGAGTTCATTATAAGATTCGATGTCAAAAAGATTTAGATGTCGAAGAGTTTATTATGAGATTAGATGTTATAAAGGTGATAGGAAATGTTTTATTTTAAATTTAAACTTAAATTCTTTTGATTAACTTTCTTTAACTAAAAAAAGTTTTTTTAAGGTTTTTAAAATCAAGTTAATTAATTCTTACCTTTACCTAAAGTTTGTTCACCTTGAAAAACTGTTTAGGAAGGCTTTAAGCATCATAAAGAATGATCACAAAAAAAGGGTTTTTACTTATGGTTAAGACAAAAACAACAGTCTTTTTGTCACAACCACTTAATTAAAGACTCCAAATTGAAAAAAAAAAATTTAAAGAAATTTTGTCTAAAGATTCAGAGAATAAAAATTTTAAAATCTAAAAAAATCTTGAAGCACATTATTCATATAAACAATATTTGCAAAATTATTTTTTTTTAATTTCTTGATATATATTCATAAAAATATCTTACCAACAAAGTGTCTAAAGCATCAATCAGTGTTAAAGAATAACTATAAAAAAATATATATTTTTATCAATTATGCTATTAATAATATTAATTATGGTAAAAAATTATAAATTAGACAATAAATGTATATTACAAAGAAGTATAAAAAATAATAGGTTAAACTTATATCTACATATTATCAGTAATATATACAGTAGTATCATATCTACATATTATCAGTAATATATACAGTAGTATTATATCTACATATTATCAGTAATATAAACAGTAGTATTATATCTACATATTATCAGTAATATATACAGTAGTATTATATCTACATATAATCAGTAATATATACAGTAGTATTATATCTACATATTATCAGTAATCTATACAGTAGTAATATATCTACATATTATCAGTAAGTACTAGTACTTTGCTCTTTTTAATTCTATCAAGTTATTATGTAACATAATAACAATTTCATCTGTATGATTCAGAAATAATTTATTAAAATGTATAAATAATTCAGGGATTATAATTTTATCTATATGATTCAGTGATGTATACAGAAATGATTAAAAAATAATAATTCAATCAAATAAATTTAGGGAAAAAATATCAGGGAATGGTATAAGGATAATAACAATTTTATTTAAATGATTCAAGGATGTAGATAGGAATGATTTAGAGATAAATTTTAGAACATAATAAGCATAATCTCTCCTAATTGGACATTATATCAACATAAAAAATAAGTTATACAGTGATAAATAAAAAATAAGTACAAGTTATACATAAAAAATAAGTTATACTACTTTTAAGTTCCTTTTAAACCCTCGCTAATACTTTCACATAAAAACAACTTGATAGCTTGAACACACATTCAAGTTATCAAGTTGAATCATTTTATCTGTTCCCATGGCTAATATTTTTCTGATAACTTGAACTTTAGAACAAAAATATAAAAAAAACCCACAATGAAGTCCTTGCATTGCAAAGTAAATGATAGTAGCTTGATAGCTTAGTTTATAGTATAAGTCATACTAACATACATTGAAAATTTATAATAAAATATGTTGTATTTACATTTTATTATGGCTACTGTCTCTGTAAAGAGAAAAATGAACATAAAATCAATTAACAAAAAGTACGCTGCTTTAAGGGAAATTGATGAAGGAACTTTAAGGGAAATTGATTTCAAAAGTTGTTATGAAATATGGCATTTCAAAAAATATGCTGTCAACATGGATAAAAAATAAAGACAAAATTTTTGATAAAACTTTTGATAACTCAAATAGTTTTTACTTATTGGCAATAGTTCATGTAATAGAATGTCCCGATAACTCGAACATTTGCTAACTCAAACTATTTTCTAGGTCCTTTGGAGGTTAAAATATCGGGAGTTCACTGTATATGCTTTGCACAAACAAAAGTATGTAAGATACTGGGATAACCGAAAACAGTGCTTACAACCCTTTCATCAAGTTTTTCCTATAAACAAGAGAAAGGACAGCATAATAATTCAGGGCAGAGGCAATTTTATGGGGGTGTGACACCCATCCAAAAAAGGTAATTTTAAAGTTATAAGTGGTTTTTTGAGGAATAAAGTCAGCCAGTCTGGTATTTAACATATTTCAGTCAGGTGAATTTCAGTTTTGAGGACCTTTTTTAAGGACCGTTGATACTTTTTAAGGATTCAACCACCTTAATTTTATTTGTAGAATTGCCTCTAATTCAGGGATGATAGGAAAGATTAATAACAATTGTATTAGAAAGTAACATAACAAGTTGATAACAACATAATAGAGTTGATAAAAACATAACGGAGTTGATAACAGCATAGCAGAGTCCAAAACAACATAACAGAGTTGACAACAACATAACAGAGTTGACAATAACATAGCAGATTTGATAACAACATAGCAGAGTTGACAACAACATAACAGAGTTGAAACAAATAATTATTACAATTAGTATAAAAAAGTCAATCAAACTTTCTAAAAAAACTGTGTGATCAAAACAAAACTTTATTAATGAAGGTTTATTTGATTTTTTTATAATGCAGAATTAGAATAGTGATGAAAATAATATGACAGCCAACCAAAGGAGGTAAACGATCATCAACTTCAACAATTCAGCACTATAATCTGGGTCACTTCAATGAAAATTTGCAGCAGTGCTTTCAGAAAAAGCAAAATACAAACATTTGCTGTGTAGTCATAACTGTGAACCTTACCTGTAAACTGGCCTATAGAAAAACACATACACCAAATTTGATATTTAAATGAGATAAAAATAACAGGCAGTACTAAAATTTCAAATTCTAATTTAATGATTATTGCTTCATTAAATACTTGAAAATTAATGAAGAACTTAAGTTGAAGTTATTTTATGTGTAACATATAACTTTCTTTTCTTAAAAATGTACCAATCGAGTTTTCTTGTTACTTTAATATAATTATACCATGTAAATAGTAAATACTCGTAATTTAAAACCAAACAATGGAATGGACAAAATTGATATCAAAATATATTTAACAAGCAGATCAATGCAAAACCCAATCTATTTGCTACATGCCTAATAATGAAATACAATACAATCTTTCTAATTTGAATTTTTTGGGGAAAAATAAAAGTTTGAATTAGAGAATTATAGAAAGTTGACCTTTTTTTCAAATATTCTTTTCAAAATAACGAATAGAAACAACAAACAAACAAACAAATAGTAATTCTTTGGACTAAAAGAAATATATATTTCTTTTAAACTTTTAAATTTGAAGAAAAAAGTCAGTAATGGTAGAATGTCTTTGACATGAATTTACTAGCTCATAAAGCTAGTAAATTTATGTCAAAGACACGATTTAGATCTTTAAGAGCCTTTGTCAAATTATCTCCAAATTAGTTTGCTTTTCCTTAAATTAGTCTAGCCATCCTTCCGAAGCTTGAAAATTTTTGAAGCATAACTCTATTGCAAAATATAAAGCTTTTTATTTTATCAGCAAGCCACTAATTGGTACATTATCAGCTCTCATTCATTTTAACCATTTAAGTACAGCTTTGTTTACAGGTAATATCAATCAACTTTCAGACGTTTAGTCAAATTTCCTTGACTACTAATTTTCCTTTAGTCAAATTTCTATCAAAGATTTTATCTGTATTCTTTTTTCAGGTTGAAAGAGAGTAAAATATCAAAAATTTTCAAAACCTCTTTATTTATTTTTCCTTTCTTGAATTCCATCAGAGTTTTTCTTTCTGCTTTTCTTCATGTAAAAGATAATTTGCACTAATCATTTTTCAAAAACTCATAACACTCAAATTTTGAAAAATTTTTTTGGCAGTTTTGTGAGCTTTTTTACACGTCAGAAATTAAAAAAATTCAATTTACAGAGAGAATCTTATTGACAAGTCTAAAAAATCCATTCGAATTGAAGAGGTTTCAAATTATAGAGATTCAAAATATAGAAAGTTAAATGTAAGAGTTTCTTAAGCGTATTTCACGGTGATTTTAAATTTAATCAAATTATGGAGGTTTCCGAATTAAGGAGATTTCAATCGTAAATCTCAAGTAAAGATTGTACTGTATATACATATTTAATGAAATATATACAGATTTACCAACTATTAGTGTTAACTATTTTCATACAATTACTTGTGTCAAAACTGTTTAATGAGAAATTGACACATGATAATTCTATGAAAATTATATAGTAATCCATAATTATAAAAACAACTGTTACAGAAATTATAAAAAATATTAATATATAATACATATATATACATACATATATATATATATATATATATATATATATATATATGTCTTATATATTAATATTTAATATAATACATATATATACACACATATATATATATATATATATACACACACACACACATATATATATATATATATATATATATATAATATATAATACATATATTTACATACATATATATAATATATAATACATATATATACATACATATACATACATATATATATAATATAATATATAATACATATATATATATATATATATAATATATATATATATATATATATATAATGGTCAGGTTTATCCTGCTACTGGTGACATGTAACTCAGTACAATCTGCTTCATGTCCTGCTGCCTTGTAGGATATGCCATTTTAGGCAAAGGCTAGGAGATGCAAACTTCGACATAAAACACCCCCTGCCTTGGGGCTCTTGGTTGAGTAAAGGCTAGAGATGGTGTCTCGATAAAAATACTCATCTTGGGCAGATGTTAAATGCGTCCAACTGCTGTCTTGTAGAAGGCCTCCTGGCCTTTTTATTATCATTCTATTATCTCCAAATGAGAGTACAGCTCTACAACTCAGTTTTATGGTTCTGAGGTCGGCTGGTAGTCAGGTTTCCCGAACTCTGTGGTAGCTCTCAGAGAGGCTGATTCCATCAACAGCTGAAAAATAACAGAGTACTAACAGTGCCATGCTGCGCATGGATGGTGTCCCTGTTTGTACTTTTGGTGTGCATTGCCAAGGCCACATTGGAGCCCTTTGTTACGGCTTAGGGTTTATTAGTGGAAATGAGGCAATTGCTTGGCTATAAAACAGTGTACTGAGTACTATTTATGTTTCAAGTCAAGTTCTATAACATATTTAAAATTGAATAATGTAACAAAAACTATAAAACACAAAAAACCACAGTCATCACCAGTTCGCTAAACCTATCATTCCCCAATATTCGTGGTCTTCGAAGTAACTTTTCTTTTGTTGAGTATTATCAAAGTTCACCAGACCTACTTGCTCCCTGTGAGACTAATTTGAGTTCAGCTGTCTCATCTTGTGATTTTGGTGTTGATGGTTATCTTCCTTTAATTCGTAAAGACTCCAATAGTCACATGCTTGGCCTGGGCGTTTACATTCGTAAGAATTCACCCATTTGTCGGGAAGAAAGAGTAGTCTGTGGATTCAAACTAGGTTTGAATCCACAGACTACTCTTTTATGTGCTTTTGTTTAGCACCACTTCACTCTATCACCTTTCTCTTTGTTCTATATCGCTCTCCCTCATCTCAAGA